TTCAAAATCTCTTTACTCAAAATCAAATCGCAAAAAGCGGCTGATGTTATAAAATCGTTGCAGAGACATAGTAGCTCTAAAAATGGTCCCACCATCAGAATTGCTCCAAAGTGCAGAACTCCGACCATAGGACATCAGTCAGAAGAAGTAAACCTTGAATAAAAATGCAAAATTTCAAGTTAATTTATTTTATAACTGTAATGAAAGTATTTACCCACAAAAGCTTCTAACTCTTCCAGTGATATTTCTTTTACAGTTAACATTTTTTCATTACATATGCGACCACGTTCTCTGTTAGTTTCCACTAACAGTAAATTGAGCATTTCATCAGTGAAAAACAATCTCATTGAATATATAGGTTCATCGGTAATTCGTTGAGTGGCATATTTTGTGGGACCTGGCACAGAATTTAGTCTATTGATGGATCTAAACAATATACAACGAAATTAGTAAGTAAAACCTACAAATTTAGTAAGAAAGTATATGTAGCACTTGAGACATCTCTTACCTTACACGTGACTGAGGTGGTGGATATTTGTTCCAAACTCTCCCATCGCGAGCAGTATCTTGTAAATCTTCTTGTTCAGTAACTTAAATTTCATTTTCCGAATTTTCGCTTTCATCTTTGTCATCATCAACCGTAGATACATGATCTTCTTCAGAAAATTCTTCATCTACTAACTCTTCATCACTAATGACGGTTTCTAAATTGGTAGATTCATCTTTATTTTTTGAGTCTTCTTCAAGGGTTTTCCTTAATGCCTCTTCCGTTAGTCCTCTCCTGGAGCTCATTTGTCAGCAAGCGCTTATTATTCTGTTTTTCACAAATGATTGTACACCACACTCTCAACTCTAAATAAACAAAACAAACATCACGTACATTTGGAAACACTTCTGGGTACAGGTGGACCCATAAACAACAGATATGTTCCTTTTATTTCAAAGAAAACCAAACTGATATTTTAAAACGCAAACACGTTAAATTGTATATAAACTTCTTCTTAAAGGATATCATGAAACATCACGTCTCAAATTTACGACATAATAAGTATATAAACATTTGAATTTTACTACTGGGTCCAGGCGTACCCAGAGACAATACAAAGGTTATTGATAATATAAGAAAATAGGAAGGAGTGTTAGAACAAGCAGACTGTTGAGGTTAAAGAATTAAATGGACTGATTTAAATGCAGTTCAATAGCACTTTTCCGAGCATCGGTAAATAGACAAAGATAGAGAAAAATAGTGACGATGATATCAAACCACCAAGTGAAGGACGGCATTTAAAGAAGAACATATCAATTAGGTACATATTACAAAGTATGTAAAATACTTTGCAATATAAATAGTTCTATATCATCATCGTTCCAAAATTGTTAATATCGCGTACATACTTCCCAATGGCACTTGGCAACAAAATTAATGTTGAACGAAATAATTTGTCAATAAGGATCACTACATTTAAAACACATCTGTAAATATTTCGCGGAATTTTTGCCAAAGCCATTTATTTCTGGTATAGATCATTTATTGCATGTTATATCAAGATGACAGTTGTTTTTGGTTTTTAATACACCGTCGATTTAAATTTGATAAATGTTTTCTGTTCCTGACAGGAATTTAAAACCTTTTTATAGCTAATCAATGTATCAATATATATTTCAAGTGGATTATTGAAAATAAATGCCTCTAGTGAAAATTACAGGTTTTTATCAAGAGCACAGTGTTAAATTAAATAAAAGGACAGGGTTTGTTACAAAGGACACAAGAAATGGTAAGTTTAGAAGAAAAAAAGGAATATTCCCTTTTTTATCCCTACTTTTTTCTCTAATTTTATTTGCCTTATGCATCTTTGACGTCTACAAAAGGCATCTTATAGCCATTTAAAAAATATTTATATAACATTAAACAAAATTAAAAGTAAGCCATTTTTCAGAATTTTTATTTTTAAAACACTCATCCCCCGCTTTGAATTTTGTTGAGATAGGCTCTCGTTATTTATTTTCCATTCATTTCAGATTTTACGACATGCTAAACACAACATAATTCTTTTTGCTTGAAAATCAGCTGCTAACAAATTTACTTCCAATCTATGTAATAAAACGTTTTTAATTGTATAGTTGTTTACTTTATTTGAATTCAAAAAATATCTTTACTACATCGTAAAAGTATAAATAGCAAGTATTAGACCTACTAAAAGTAATAAACATTGATAAAATGATTCTACCTTTATGACACTATTAGAAAATTGCAAAAATACAAATCTGTGGTGTTTGGGAGACATATGTTAACTCCAAAATGTATGTTTTTCAGTAGAGCAATTTTAACATTCCAGAAGGTTTCTTAAATCGAAGGCAACAAAATAAAAAACCAAATATATTTCATTAAATACTTTATTAAGTGCTAAAACAGATGTAACAAACAAAATATGTTTTAACATTTCTGTTTTTGATATATTGGCACATATCATATTTGTATCAAAAATATAGAGATTTAAAAAGTATTTTAATGGAGATAACGGTCAAAGAGGAAATAACTTAAACTATTATTGGTCAATTTCTTTGTATTGGAAAACAGTGCTGTGGAAATATATGGCTTTACTTGCACCTAATTAAAACTTAAGCGTCGAAATTTTCATCACTGTCGCTTGTATATTGTTTGGTACTGGTTTGAGTGTGTTTAAGCGAATGGTAAAATCCATGATAGATTAGATCTATAAAGGATAGTAGGTCGAGAATATCTTTATATTTCAAATAATCTATGGGTAGAGGATCACTATAAGCTGGAAGTATCTGAATATTAGACATAGAAGTTGACCTGCCTCTTCTTAGCAGGGACATTGAACGAAACGGTTCGTTGGGATCTAATGTGTATTTGAAGCCTATATAACTATCCTTTTTGTAATGTAGCCAAAATACGCTGTTCCAAACAAAAGAATTTTTATCTTTATCAATATTTCTTTTTATAAAATGCTTTGTTAGAATTTGGAAAATCTGAAAAACTCAGTTTGTTTCATAAATTTTACATCAAAACGAGGGCTCGTCATTTTAATTACTGATACCCAGTCCTGTGGAACTGAAATTGTGGCGTTTCTTTTTTCATAAATCTCTCTATGGTAGCATGGTCTGTATCATATTCTAAATGAGTATGATCAGGAACTAGGAACTTATGATGAATTTCTTTTAGAGTTTCCTTTCCTTCAAGTGCTTTTAAAGACATAATCGGTAATATATTATTTCGGTTTTGACCGGGCCACGTATCAGAATAAAAGACAACTTTTTCTACCTGTTCTGGCAAGTCTCTAATAAACTGAAATAAGCAAGATGAGATCTCATCAGCTCCTCGTTGAGCACCTTCTTGCCACATATAACACGATGTCCGTTTTGCGGTGTATTGCGGATCGTCAAATTAAAAGTCCATAACTTTCTTTTGATTGGTTGCATTGGTTAGATGCATTGGTTAAATGCCTTCCTTTTCAGGTGACCAATGCATCTTACCAGTCATGACCTACGGAGCAGAGACCTTAACTTTAACGAAAGCTACTGCCGAAAAACTGAGGGTAACTCAAAGGCGAATGGAGAGATCAATGCTGGGCCAGACCTTGAAAGATCGCGTAAGAAATGAGGAGATACGCCGACGAACTGGCGCAGACGATATTATACTGCGAATCAATAAACAAAAGTGGAGGTGGGCTGGACATGTTGCTAGAATGGAAGACGGAAGATGGACGAAGAGATTATTGGAGTGGAGACCAAGAGCCGACAAGCGAAGTCGAGGCAGACCACCCACCCGATGGACCGACGACCTAAAGAGAATAGAAACAAACTAGATTGCAGCAGCTAGAGATAGAGAGAACTGGAGACGTTTGGAGGAGGCCTATATCCAACAATGGATGTGAAAATTCGGCTGGATGATGATGATGAACTTTCTTTTATAGAAAGCCACACTAGATGTCAAATTAGGTGTAGCCAAACACTTCTGCAAATAAAATGCAACTACAAGCTTGTCTAAGCTCCGCATACTTTCTTCTTTGTCGCCTTGTTTTGTTATATAATGAAAGGAAGCATTATTCTGATATTGTTCGCTTTCATTTTCTAATCTTTGTTTTTCTTCTTCGGAGCCACAGCTTTTTATCTTCAGAAACAATAAATCACAGGTTTTGCAAGTGTCATTAGATGGCTTTTTAAACTTAGATAGAAGTAGAAGATGCTTCTTTTCGAGATGATTTCGAGTAAATGAGATATCTACTTCTGATTGCTTGTTACCTGAAGGCTACATACCTCTTGAAGTAGGAGATGCTTTCTTTTTTTTAACAACGTCATCTAAGAAACCTCTGGTTTCGCCAAATACTTTCAAAAAGCAAAATTTACAGATATTACCATCCATATTTGACAACTTATAAAGAACTGTAAATTACCTATTTTTGACTGAGTTATCACGCTGGCCTTTAGACTCATGTTAAGGCCGGTTTTCACGCTACGTCTTATTGTACGTTTTGTTGGATAGGACAAATCCTATACAATAAAACGTGGCATGTAAACAGCAAAACGTACGTCTTGTGTATACACTGGACAAAACGTACATTTTGTCGTACGTGTTATATGATGCACAAAACGTACAATAAGACGTAGTGTGAAAACGCGCCTTTAGACTCGATGTCGGATCCAACGTAACCGTGTGGTTCTAGGGTTAATATTAGGCATAATAATAGCATATTAATTTTAGCAATTAGCTATCATCAGCAAATTAGCAATTCATTGCATTTATAGTTATGGTATATATTTTGTGTGAGTTATTTATTGAATAAAAATCATTTTTTTTATATTATTACACAAGACTAGTTATTTCTACTTACAAAAATTGAAGGTAATACCGAAATTTGAAGAAAACTAAGCATATCTCGGAATCATCAAAATTAAAGTGTCTTATAAATGAAATATTAAAAAAATGGACTTAAATCCCGTTATATACTTTTCATTAATTATATTTTTCTTTTCAGGACTTCAAACCTGTGCCTTATCCTAAAAATCAATACGGCAAATTCTATACAGGAGATTCATACATTATACTAAATGTAGGTATACACTTAGAACTGTAATGAAGAACTGAAACTAATTATTGACTTATTTTAGACTAAATCTACCAAGAGTGGTGCCAAAGTACATGATCTTCATTTTTGGTTGGGTGCTGAAACCAGCCAGGTAAATATACATCACACATCACACATAATTTATGTGTTTCTTAACTCTTATAATATGCAGAGATTGGGTACCGTAATTGCACGATTTTAATTTATTATCTTTGTGTAGGATGAACAAGGATCAGCCGCCATCTTTACAGTTCAGTTAGACGAGCACTTGAATGGAGAACCAGTTCAACATCGTGAAACCCAAAACCATGAATCTCAACTCTTCTTATCTTACTTCAAAAGCGGTGGTATTCGGTACCTTCCTGGTGGTGTTAGCTCTGGCTTCCACCATGTTGATCCTAATGCTTTCGAGAAGAGGCTGTTCCAAGTAAAAGGCTCGAGAAATATTAGAGTTAAGCAAGTTACTCCATCAATTGCCTCGATGAATACTGGTGACTGCTTTATTTTAGACGTTGGAAGAGATATTTATGTTTACGTCGGTACCAAGGCTAGAAGAGTTGAACAACTTAAGGCTATTAATGCTGCTAACCAAATTCGCGACCAAGATCATGCTGGAAAGGCCAGAGTAACCATTGTTGGTAAGACTAGAACAATAAATCATACAATGATCAGAAAATAAAGTTACATTTTTATTTATTTTAGATACCTATAGTCCAGAAAGTGACTATACTCAGTTCTTTGAAGCCTTGGGCGAAGGTTCCAGAGATTCAGTTCCCGACTATACCACCAGTGACGACGATGAATCTTTCGAACGTACAGAAGAAAATCACGCTTCACTTTACAAGGTATCAGATGCTACCGGCTCTGTTCAAGTAACCAAAGTTGGACAAAAACCTTTGGAAGCCAGTTCGTTGGACCCCAGTGACTGCTTTATTTTAGATACCACTGATGCCTTATTGTATGTATGGATCGGCAGCAAATGTGATGAAAGAGAAAAGAAGGAAGCCATGAATAAAGCTGATGGGTTCCTTAATGCACACAATCACCCTAAATGGACACACGTTCAAAGAATTGTTCAAGGAGCTGAGCCCACTGCGTTTACACAATATTTCAGGTAAAATATTGTAGTATTACCTCTATATGCATGCAATCCAGGACCATCTAAGCGTTTAGTCCGTCTTATACCTAGTGGCTCTTATACCTGCACTTGAATCGCTTAGCGTTAAATCCAATCTCAATCCCTACATGGCTTTATGATTCGCTCTGATTTTTCCACAGATTTTTTAGTTAGTGTTAAATTTCTGCATCAAAAATTGGCTCTGGCAGCATACATTGTTAAAAAAGTTCCTTTTTAGGCATATTGGTTTTAAATTTTATAGTTCTAAGTTTGCCAATTATATAGGTCTTTTATTTCGCAGGTAGTTATTACAACTTCTTTTTTACGTCGTTTATGCATGTGCTGATTCAAATGTCTATGTTTGTCATATGCTGTATTTTGTTAAGGTTTATTTTTAAACTAAGCGTCTACCTAGATTGCCGCTGAGTATTTAATAACTGTAGGGCCTCTTTAAGATTGTCTCAAATCAGCATGATCTGCTCAACGAAGCACAAATGGTTTAATTTTTCACCATATGTTGATTTCCACGTTCTTCCACTCAAGTTTTTGAAATATACATTCTAGCAGAATGATAATAGTTTGTGGTTTGTGGTCTAAACAGTTTGCACTTCAAGTTCCATTTTAGAAATTGGTATATTAGTATGAAGTTACTATTGCGCTTTTACATATGATTTTAAATATTGGTGTTTTATCTTTGTTATACCCTATAATCAGCTAATGGCATCTTAATACCATCACCAAATACGTATTTTTCAGAAATTGGCGTGCCTTTGGAGAAACCCACCCAAGATTACTCCGGTCTGTCAGCGCTTCAGCTCACCTTTACCATTGCCAAATTCGTTCAAGATCACGTAGACTTAAAGTCGAAGAGATTAAGGACTTTGAGCAGGAAGACCTCTGGGAGGATGATATAATGGTCTTGGACGCTGGTGATGTTGTATTCGTTTGGAATGGCAAAGGAGCTTCAGACGATGAAAAATCTAGAGGACCTAAATACGTACATGTAAGAATATAAAAAATTTATAAAACGTTAACTATATTCAGGTGTAATATTTCCCTAAAATACTTAATTCCGTTTAATTGAAATGTTTTCGAAACTGTTTTTTTGTGAGAGTTGATTCAATAATTATAAAATTAAAGCTATATATACTCTTTGTCTATTAATAGATAAAATTAAAGATGTTGAGTATATAGATAATACTTATCTAATCTTATCTATTACACGAAATATATTAAATAATATTTTTAATTTTATAAGGATTAACATAAACTCATAAATTACCAAAATAATGGATATAACTCACATAACTCTCCAGGAAGCAGAAGCCAGTTATAACTATGTAAAAAATACGTCAATGGTATCTAACGGAGATACAGCAGACGAAACGTAAGAAACACTTCCGGATCAAAGTTTACAAGCCGTGAAACCACTATATCATTACAACATATCGAAGTCTACAGTGCTTGATACATTTATAGAAGAAGTTCAAGAAGTTTGTTACACCCTTTCTTTAAGATTTTGTTAATTCTCAGGTACAGCTGCATATTATAGCACATAACATAACATGATACATCGAAGCCCAGTTTTTGTTATCTATGTAGAAGGAATTCAAAAAGTTTTGTTACACCATTTCTCGAAAACTTTTTATAGATATATACCTGGAAGTCACCAGCAGATCAAGAAGAGAGAATTGTAAGAAACCAAATAGGCTATGTATTAGTAAGACAAAGATACAGAAACGCAATTATATCTGCAAAAACCTATCTAACCCAGTAGTAACCAAAATTAGACTCAAAATGACAATAATAAAACGAAGAACAACAAATGCAAAAATCGATACAAGTAAATTAAAGAACTCACTCATAAGGCAACGCCTGGCAGATGAAATCAACAGCGGATTAATGGATGTTAAAGAACAAATTCTGCAAAATACTGAGACTGAGAAAAAATGGTTATTAATAAAGACAGAAATAGATAAAAGTCGATAAGAAATTCTAATACCAATGAGATATAAAAAGAAGCAGTGGATAACGGAAGAAATTTTAGATTTAATGAAAGACGTCAATGTAAGAACAAAGATAATCAGATGTACAAAAAAGTGGATAAACAAATGAAATACATAATTAAGAAAGCGAAAGAACAATGATTCTTTCGCTTTCTAGAAGAAGACAGCTATACCTATAGAGAGAGAGTTCAAGAAGTCTCAGATTCTAATATAGAGCAACGTATTGTAACACATAACACTTCGAAGCACGCAGTTCTTGATGCCTATATAGAAGAAGTTCAAGAAGTTTTGTTACACCTGTTAAAACTTTCGGGCATCCTCGTATACACTTACGTAAGTTAGTAATTCACTTATAGTAAAAAGTTATACACTTTATACGTCCATGGTTATACCTACCTTCGTTTTACATCCCTCGAGAGGGGCTGCAAGTAGTTGCGGACGGAAGGTCTAGTCACTTATTATCTTAACATGAACCATCAGACAAGAGCGCTCTTTTTTAAGTTTTTTTTTTGTATATAAGTATTTTACATTTTTTTGTTCAACAATACAATTTAAGTTAAGAGATTTTGTCTTTATATAATTACAGAACGTAAATTTCAAATAATATTTAACTACAACCCCTACAACACCTTTTCTCGAACATTTTACCTCTCATGTTTTCAGATACAGCTGCATATTTGTTACTAAATCCCGATTTTATTTTCAGAAAATGTTGAATCGTCAAGGTCGTGAAGACGTACCAGTAAAAATAATTGAGCAAGGTGATGAACCAGAAGAATTCACAATGCATTTCCCAGCTTGGTCAGCAGATCACTGGGACAATTTACCAGATGTAAGAAGCTACATCAAAAATGAGGAAGACTGAATTCTGTTGTCATGATTGACCAACCTGTCACCTGTTTTAAATAAGGCTTTTACGTTACAAAATGTGCGCAAAATATTATAGCTTTAACATTTTTAAACATGCATTTATATAGCAGTTTTAGTTTTTTATATGCCGCTGCTTTCGGTAATATAGACCTAGTATCAAAATGATTTTTACAAAATTAGAAACAACTTATAAATTGTGCCTAATAAAAAGATTTTACAATAATAAATTGAAACATTATCGAGTTGAAACTTTATCTGTACTGTTTGTGTACCTATCAGTGTTATTTTTTAAAATGTTGTATTTGTTAAGCTTGTGTGGTTATAAAATCTATAATAAAACAATTATACTTTTTGCTTTAATTTATTGATCCTACGAAATACTCCTATAGGTTTAAAAAGAATATAATTATAGTTTATTTTCGTGTATTGATGGAATATGCTAGTAAGTACTAACTTACTTTCTACGTACTAGATATAGAAGGGGCATTTAATAATGTTTGCTCTTTGCCACCAGCTCTTTGATAGGAGCTATGAGTAGACGAGGCGCACTTGCGGTAACATGCAGATGGATAAGGGCATCCCTGGAGAATAGGACAGTAATGTTCACTCTGGGTAAAGCAATCATCAAAGCTAAAGTTGGTGGAGGCTGTCCACAAGGAGGAGTTCTATCCCCTCTACTTTGGGCAACCTTGGTAGATGATCTCCTCAGAAATCTGTCCACAGAAGGCTTTTATTGTCTAGGATATGTTGACGATATAGCAATCGTTATCAGGGGCAGGTTTGCTCAGGTGGTGTATGAGAGAATGCAAGTAGCCCTAAATATAGTTGACCACTGGTGTAAACAAGAGATAATAATTTTCAATGCTCAGAAAACACAAATCGTCAACTTCACCAAAAAAAAAACAGCACTGCAACTCCTAAAACCACCGGTGATGGGAACAACAGAGATTTCATTTGCCAAAGAAAGAAAATACCTTGGAGTATATTTTGATCATAGGCTTATAAGCAATACTCACATTCAGAAAACCACACAGAAAGCTACTATGTCCCTGGGCAAATGTAGAAGAATGTGCGGTAAGAATTGAGGACCCCAAAATGACTCTATGGTTATACACAAAGGTTATTAGACCAATGATAACCTACGGCTTGGTGACGTGGTGGACGAAGACACGGCAAGTGGGAGCAATAAGGCTGTTAGGTAATACACAAAGGCTAGCATGCCTGCGTATTACTGGGGCCATAAAAACAACGCCTACTGCATCGTTGGAAGTCCTGCTGAATCTACCACCACTTCATATCTTTATACAGGGCGAAGCCAGATCTGTAATACACATTAATCCATAATCAGCGACATACAAGCCAGATGCATGTGTAATGTGAGCGTAGCAAGTGAGGAGAAGTTGGAATAAAGGGCTAAGTAGCATAAAAAAGATAATAATTATTCGAGATAATTATTATATATTCCAAATCAAATAAGGGATAATTATTACAGTAAAATTTGCATTTTAAATCACACAAAGAAATTGACCTAGTTATTGCATTGTTTGATAATTGTTTAAACGTAGAAAAAGCACGTCAAACAGAAACTATTGTTGTAAAAAATAACAACACCCGTGACCCAAATAGGAGTAATAACGCCAAGACTACAACTCAGCGAAAAACACGACCTTGGTACTAGAACCGGCGTTGAAAGTACGAGCACAATAAAACAAGAAAAAACGACGGTAGCCAGGCAGTTAGTAATAAGTAGTTAGTAATGAGTAGTCAGTAATAGCGGGCCACCGTGACTGCCCGCTCAGGCAGTATTGCCGGCATCGGGTAGGACGCGATAGCGTCCCGTACGAGGCAGTCGGTAATTCTCCGGGGAGCGCTTATCATCCCGGCATAGTATCTCGTGTAGTCCGGTTATTGTAGCAGCTCGTAAGTCCGTAACACAGGAGGAGACCCTCAACTGACCGAGTTCCAGAGGACCGAAACGTGTCGTGGTTGAAAGTCTAAATACACATAAGGTAACAGATTTCTATATACTAACCTGAGTAATTATAATAGTACAACTGTCAGCTCTTCACTCCCTAGCTCCTCGTCTCCCGACGCGCAGAATGTCGTGTTAACGATTGTATTTGTAACTTCAGGGTAAATTCAATATATTGTAGACTCTAAATTGGTTTTTTAATGTTCCTTTCGTCCGACTCATTAGAGACTAGGAGAATACGAGATTCTGCTTATGCATATCTCCGGCTTCAAAAGTAAGCCCATAACCTCTGCTCTTTACAGGACCTGAGACCTAGGAGTCCTTACCCCCTTATCCCGAAAATCCCTTATCTTCTCGTAAATCCACGAAGACGAGCCAGCCCTCCAGACTAGTGTGACCCGTATTCCTTGCAGCCGCTCGCAGGGTTAGCATCCCTTGAGGATCTATAAAGTATTACATTTGGTGACAGCGCTTTCCTTACCTTCACATAACGCTCCCGCCTCAATTATTACACATGGTACTGACAATAGAAACCTAATCGAGGAGCTAAAAGCCGATATTGTGATGAGGAAACCTATCGATGCAACAGCTACGAGATATAGCTTTAACAATAGGTTCACAATTAAGATACCAGCCAGGGAAGACTGGAATAAAGGTGTACCCATACAAGCTGCTGCTACTTGGTACACGGATGACTGAAAAACATCGGAGGGTGTGGGAGCCGGCATAGTAGAGACAAATCAAGGGATACATTTCCCATTAAGTCTATCTAAGGATGTGACAGTTTTCCATGCGGAAATAACTGCAATCCATCACTGCGTGGAAGAAATAGAAAGGCAGGAAAGAGCGTTCTGTTCAGTTGCCATCTTCACAGATAGTCAGGCAGTGCTTAATGCACTCAATTCTGTAGAGGTCAATTCTAAGCTAGTATGGTATTACGTGTGTACCCTAAATATACTAGAAGACCGTAGCAAGGTTACGGTAGCCTGGGTACTGGGACACGAGGGTCATAAGGCAATGAAAAAGCAGATGAAATGACCAAACAAGGCTCATCAATGCCATTCATTGGACCAGAACTCTTAAGAGAAAAAGTTAAGTGCAAATGTATGCCACGTATGTGGCATATGTGGCATCCTCTGTGACCTATATCAAAGTATGCATCAAATTATAATTACTGATATTCAATAGTATCCAGCTGTAAATTTTTATACATAAATGTTTACAAACATGAAAGTAATAGCAAAAAATAAAATTTTAAATTTCTACTTTAACACCCTGTATCTTTTTTAATATCAACATTTTATTAAAGCAAGTTGGCTTAAATCGTAATATTTTAAAGTGTAGAATCTGCGGTTTCTCTTTCTACAATTACTTAAGGACCACCCTGTATATGCAATAAAACCAATTTTATATTTTAAAGGATGTCAACAGTATCAAACATTTTGTTGTAAACAATGTTTAAATGGCTCTACTGGAAAATTACGTTTTTTGAGTTGTAACCCTCTTCTTCCGCATGGTCGATATAATTTCTGTAAAGAACGAGAAATTTTTATGTTAACTAAACCCCCGCACACATCGCATCGATTCCAACCTCTGGATGTAGCTTTTTACTCATCGTTAAAATCAGCATTGAATGTGGCAATTATCTTCGAAGTCGTTCTCATGAGCGTATCACGACATTTGAAATAGATAAAAAATATATCTAAAGATAGAAATATTTAAAAATTCATACGGTCGCTTAACTACACCAGTCAAAGTTATTAAAGGTTTTGAAAATCCAGGAATATTTCCATATAATCCTGAAAATTTTACCGATGAAGACTTTGCTCCAGGTGAATCATTCATACAAGAAAAAGATAAAAAGACACTAGACCAAGAGAGAAAAAGTGGATTAGATAAGGAGAAGAATAATAAGGAAGTGTAATGTACCTACCTACTCACATGTAAGATAATTAAAGTATCTATGTATTTCTATATAGTTTTTAGTCACCTGGTATATGTTATTTACAATTATGAAAAGTTCTCATGTATAATCACTAATAATTATTTGCTGTTAGAAATCAGAATCAATACTCTTCATAAATATTTTCCTATTTAGAATAAATAAGTTTCGCTAGTTTATTCGCCTAATACTTCGTATCTATGGAATAATAATAATTTATTTCTCTTATTTCTTTGTTCGATAAGCTATCCGTATTTGCTATTTTAATATTAATATTTGAGTCCAATCTCTTGTACTCAAATCCATCCAGAAACATCGTTAAATAATTGTAGATAACAGAACTTATAAATTCATAGTTTTAAGAAATAACAGGCAGTGTAATTTTCATCCTCTAATATAATAAATTTATACATGTCAATATATTCTGTTTAATTCCAAAACAAAGAGTTAGTCCGGAGAAGAAATAAACGCATAGTATTCCATAACAAAATTTGGTGTCAGAACGTGGGATGTTAGTAGCAGAGTTCCTCTGATTGCTGATAGAAGGAGAGCTGAGGAATTTTTGAATTGACTTGTTTCCTTCGAGGAATCATTCAAAAAAAACTGTCAGTGTGGAAAAATCGCCACTACAACTAATTACATTGGGGTCCAGTACATCCAGTTCGAAATCCAGTTCCAGTCATAACCAATTGTAGTTCCATCGGAAGTAGAGGTGAACCCGTGGAATAATAGACTATGCGACCAACAACAATATTCTACTTGTAAGTACATTCTATCTTAAATTCTGTCTCATATTTTAAAAATCTTGTAAACGTATGTCTACTTTATATCCTGATATAAGTAACTTATTTGACGAACAAATACCTTCTCCCGACTCAAATTCTCTTTCAAATTCTTCTACTTCTAATTCAAATAAAATGTCAGTATCAATTGAAATAGCTGAAAAACTTCTCATTAGATTTGATGGTACAAAATCAAAATTATACGAATTCATAGACAATTGTGATAAAGCATACAATTTAGTAAATCCGCAATCCAAACCCATCTTATTAGCCATTATAGAAACTAAATTAACCGATAAAGCTAGGGCCATAACTAGAAACAGAACATTTGACGAATGGAAAGATTTAAAAGACTTCTTATTAGATGCTTATTCTGAACGCCGAACTGAAGGTCAGTGGCAATTGGAATTACATTCCTTACGTCAGATGCCCAGTGAAAAGGTAATGTCATTTGCAAATAAAGTTGAAAATTGCTATATAAAATTAATAAATACACTTGATCCAGACTTATCTCCAGATGCAAGAAATGCATGTACTAAACTCTTAAAAACTCAAGCACTAAATGTCTTTATTAGAGGATTAAACAAAGACCTCTCTATTTTAATCAAAGCCCGAAATCCAGATTCCTTAGAAAGAGCTGTTGCTATAGCAATTGC